AAGCAGGTAGCACCAACCCTACTGCATTATCCCTTGCGTTCCTTTTCCTGGCTCCCAAAGTTCATTCCCCCCACCTCCCTGGGTTGCAATCAATTCAGCTCTAGGTTTTTGAGGGGATTCCCACCACCCCGCAAAATCCTCAGCCCTAGGTTTTCAGGGGATTCCCAACACCCCCAAGCAAATCAACAGCCCTAGGTTTTCAGGCGATTCCCACCACCCCCCAAAATCCTAACAGGTAGCACCCCAGCCATTCCCCCCACAAAAAAGTCCAAGACATCCCACAGGTACCCTCAGACTGAGGCGGGTCTCAATCTCCTCTTCGATGTGCCGAAGCTCATCCGCCTCAACCTCCCGGAAGGCGCGCAGGCGGCGGCGGAGATGATGCTGGAGCTGGTGGAATGGATGGGCTCCATGCACCACCAGCCGGACACCAAGCTCTTCAGGTGGGGAAACCGACGAAAACGAGGCGACGGGATTTGTTCCCCTGGCCTATCGGAATTTTGTGAGAAAGCGTGGGTTATAGATGCAGAATGCATGGGGGTTTTGGTAGTACATGGTTTGGTAAGCACATGAAGCCTCCCCTCCCCGTTAGGCGAATCGACCTGCGGTCAAGTGCATCTCCCTTAAGTTCTCGGATCAGTTTCGCCTTGACAAGGTGACCTGGGGTCGCTTCCCCCCATGTTAAAGAAACAACATGTCCAAGAGACCATGACCCAAAATGGGTTGGGGGGCGGCGTCTTTGTTAGGTTAGTTTGGTTGGAACTAGATGGATTCCACTGGTTAGATGGGTTTTATTACCCATTTACCAGGGCCATCTGTTTTTCCAAAAGGACACCTATGGGGTATCCTTTTTGCACCAGTTTGTGGAGGTCTGGACTCCGCGATACACGTTCTTGAGCCCTTGAGAGCATCTTGCTAGGTTTAACCATCTCTTTCACGAGATGGATGGTGAAAGCATATGTGCATGATTGTGCATGTCTTTTTGAGAGTACGCTGTTCACCTTGGTTTCAAGAGAAAGCAACGGGAGAGCCACAATTTTTGGGGCCTCCCCTATTTTGACTCGCACCCGTATAGAGATGGTGGCGTTCAAGGCTTTTTGTTTCAAAGCGGGCCTTTCAATTTTTACAGTTTTCCTTTCGCCCTAGAGGTTTGAGGACTTAACGCGGTCCTCCGAGAGTTTCGATGCCGAAGTGCAAGGACGGGGGGGGGACCACAAGAAGCGTGACGTGGGAGTGGTGTGTAAAGCCCTTGCAGGCTGGGGGGGGGGCAGGACGCGCTCAACCAGGAAGGTCGGGTTGGGGGCTTCCGGTTTGCGAATTATGGTAATGTCGACTTCGGAGTAATCCGAAGGACCCCACTAGTCTGAAGAAGCCCCTAAAACGGACACATTCCTAACTAAAGGGAACCACCCCTCATAGCAACGGTCCTCCGGATGAATCCGAAGTGAAGACATGCGCAATACGTCGGCTTGGGATTGTCTTTCAACAGGGGTGGGCTGCGACCCGACACATCAAAGGGACTTAGCTGAACTGTGTTCCCCGTCCTTTTGGCTCCTTGTATCTCCTTGTTCTTTCAACCAGAACGACGACTTTGTTTTTATCAAGTGAACCCAAGCGGTTGAAACTCCTTGCTGAATGTCAGGTGTGGGTTTTGTGCTGGGCTTCGCGCATGTCTTTCTTTGCTGTGTGTCAAAATAGGGACCGCACCCCCGCCCAAACGCATCAGGTGGTGTTCCCTTTGGCTTGTGCTTAACACATATTCCAAAATCGGCAGCCTCTAAAGAGCTCACAAGTGGAACATATTCCACATTCCGGCGTCTTGGCTTTGTACGCGCTTCTCTTCTTGCAAAAAGTTGTCCTCATCCATGTTGGGCTTGCATTGTCTCGCTGATTCTGGTCTTGTGTTTTGGCCTTTGCCGTATTTGTTGTTGTGTTCTGGGCAAACAACACCTATCAACATGAGGCTTCTAGCTCTTGGCTTTTGTTGGTTGAAACGCCCACTCCCCGCGCTGTACGGCACCAGGTCGGTCTACTTGCCCCCAAAACACCACACCTGCAAACTACCGTCGCACGGCATGTTTTCCGGGATCGGAGTTGGTGTCCGGCGAATCAATAAGATGTGGTGTTCCTTGTTGGCTTATCAGAGCCCATCCCAATTCCAATCGACCAAACAGCATCCAAAAGGCTTTCCCTTCAATTGCACCAGGGCTTCCATTTGAGGTAGGTAGCCGAGGGCAAGAGCCCATTGTTTGAAAAACCGGAACATCTATGGCTATAGCGGCGAACCCGCCTCGGATCTGCGGGAAGAGGGTTTCCACCCCCCCAAGACACTTCTACTTTGGTCCAAACACCCCATGTCCAAACCGGCGAAATGGTCAAGCCATCCGCTGATTGGCTGGATTGGTTTTGACAAGCCCCTTGGCTTGCCTGGCTCCCCACCAGGGGTGATATTGGTTTTCGGCAGGGGGCTTTGAATCATATGAACATCAGGCCTGGGGTCATGGGGTTATGCCAACGGAGTATAGGTGGTTTTGGCTGGACCCACACAAGTTGTGGGTGTTCCTTTTGGTGTCCCTTTACAACCAACCAACGAGGGGTACTCTTGAAACGACACACACACTGAGAGGATTCCTGGACTTCTTCTTCAGCGGTGACCTCATCAGCCCTCAGCAGCGCAGCTCCATCCTGCTCGGTGCGCGAAAGTTGGACCTGTGGAGAAACCCCGAGAACAACTGGGATCACAAGGTGAACCGAAGCCACAGCAGCAACCAGGACGGGGAACACCGGAGAACTCACCGGGAAAGGGGGGGGGGTGGAGGGATTCCTGACAACCTGGAGTTGGATGAAATCTTATAAAGGAAGAGTTGGACACGCCAGGACCCAGTTGGGAGGGATGTCGTCTAGCCGCGGAATACAGAAGTGGGAACAACCAATAAAGTGGAAGGGATGGAGTACCCACCCCTTAGTACTGAATGGACTTGTTTCAATCAATGAAGAGCTGGGCACCACCTGATGACCACTACCAAACGCAAACTAGACCACTACACGTAAACCATGTACTTAGAACACCCGAACAAGACCCGCAAAAAGGCCGAGAAATAGTCAAAACGGACGCACACACACACACACGCACACACACACACACACTTGAGTCTGCCAATGTCCAAGGGTCTCTGTTTTGACTATGTTGACGACGCATGTTTTTTTTTTTTTTTTAAGACTTAGGATACGTTTTACATTTTACCAGAAGCAAACAATAACATGTACATTCTATAACTGGGCGAAACTCTAATCATGATTAGTTTGCGGTTGTTGTGGGGCTTTGTATACTGATATTATAGCGTGCTTGTTATGGTTCCATGCGGTCGGGTGTTCATTGGCGAAAGAAACACGAGAAGACAATTTTGACTTGTTTGCAATACAATCAAGTATTACCACCAAGTGCTAGGCGGATCCGTAGCTGAGTTGGTTGTCGTGCGAGCTTCCAGTCACCATTATGCAATGAAAGATGACAGCAGGGGAGCTATTGTGCAATTCCCAGAGGAAGAATACCCAGTAAAAGCTGGGCATCCGTCATTTCTTTCGCAGGATTGCGTGCGAGAGGCTAAACTGGCCTTGCCATTCCTGGAGCCGTCCTTGTTGCAGAAATACCATGAGCTGCAACGAAGATTGGGATATCCCATCGGCTCGGCTTAGCTGAAAAAGTGCGGCAGATTGGAAAAAAAGCGCTGTTCTTCGGCGCAGGTACTTAAATACCGTAGGTGGTCATGGAATGCAGATAGGAATTCTGGAAAAGAACGGGTGCGGCATGCCAAGCGTGAGCCTGGTGCTTTCCTAAGGAGACATTCCTTTGTTCCCAGTCACCTCTCCACAAACCAGTCCAATCCACAAATTCAGGATGGTCCAATGTCATGCATCACAGTTTGGATAGTTTGGATGGTCAATCGGCAACGCTGGATCCAGGGTCTGAACCAGAGCTAGGTCTCATCCCTTCGAAATGCCCTCGGCTCCAGGTCGGCCACTGACGATGTTGTGACATATATGTGTGGAGTGACCACAAACGACGTGCCAATAGCGGTGATCAGCAGTTCAGGCTTGATTAAGTCAGAAGTGTGTTTGTGTTTTTTGGCAAAATTGCCAAGCTTGCAAAGTTGAGGGCGTTGCTAGTTTTCATGCGTTTAGTTGACCAGTGCATTGTTTTGCTTTCATTCTTTCTCGTCGCTTTTTTGGTTTCAAAAGTCAAGCTTCAGACAGCCCAGACCCCCGGTGTCCTTTTGTCTTGTTGTTTGGATTGCCGTTTTAATCGACCAAACAAAGCGAGTCCTTTTCTTCCCATGGCCACTGGGCGCATCTCGTCAGGGTGAGAGAACAAAAATGCTGGCGTTCTTGGAGCTATGGAGCCCAACCTGGGGTCTCTGAAATGACTTTGCATGTTGTGGTGTACCATAGACCAGAATCAACCATCGTATTGTCGTGGGCAAACGCTGAAGTGGAAAGCCGAATATCTTCTTCTCCTATCTTAACGTACTATCTCACTGGAATTGAACACCTGGGGCAGTGACGCATGGCTTCATGTGCTTCATGGACTATTTGGGACGACGTTGGCTGGTGATGTCTTTTGTTTTCTCGCCACTTGCTGTTGTAAGATTGGGATGGTACAGTAAAACCGGATGCGAAGACCGAAGAGCTTGTTTGATCAACTTTGTTCCCGAGAGCACAGGTTTCCCTTGCTGGTTCTCAGGAAATGAGTTGGAATGACCAGCAACCATCCCCTATGGTTTCTTCATTTATGGGAATGCCTTTTCCTTCTAGGGAATACCCCTACCAACAACATCCCCTGTGATTTCCTTTAGGGGGGGCTTAGTCTTTAGGAAGTGGGTTTCGTACATCCCCACTTCTGTGATACTGTTGGGAATCTCCCCCTTAAGGGAATGCCCAAAACCGGTTCATTCCCACCCGGTCTCGGAAATTCATTCCTCGCCTCGCCGGTCTTTCACGAGGCCTTCCCACCGAAAGAGTTGCGCCGCTTCGGAGAAAAGATGCGTCCCCGCGCAGGCGGACGCACAGGTTTCGGACCCGTGCCGTTTTTTTGTTGTTGTTTTTTTTCCCCGGGGAAGAACGAGCACATAACCAGACAGATTTGACCTCAAAGCGTTTCTTTTCGCATGTTTCCGCTGGTTACCTACCAAATTGGTAACTGGAAGCTGTGGTCGATTTGGCTGTGGGTCAACAGCAATGGTACATTTTAGAACCTATTTCAGTGGGGATTGGGATGTTCACTGGGGGTACGGGCTTTTGAAGCGTTGCCTACTCGTTGGCGCATTTTGCTTGGATGTTAGGACTGAATCACTTTTTGCCAACTCCTGAGTTTTCCGAATTAAACCACAACAAGTTAAACTTTTAGCAGCGGAGCAGAAAGCAACCAAGAAGAGTTGTTCTCAAGGTTGAGATATACTTTATCCGTTGAACTTAGAAATCACCAAACAGCTTCTGCTCTCAATGTTTCTCCCAAGGATTCCTGGCTTACTGCAAGCGCCCGCGTAGTCTCAACTGGGAGCAGTGGTCGATTTGAAGCAGCGAGACTTCCGCGGCCTTTAGCCCGTCTGGATTGAAGCCGGGGTGGCGCGGAGGCGAACCCCGAGGCAGACGACACCGGAAGCGTCGGGCGTCGGAAGCGCGGGCGTCTTCGACTGGCTGGGGTCGCCGAACATATGGCTATGGGTTTGATTCAAAATAGGGAACCCACATCTTGAGTGCTGTTGGGTTGGATCTTTAGACTTTAACTTTTTGGGAAGTCAAGGGTTTGTCTATTAAACCCGCAACAAAATCAACGTTTTGCAGAGGGGTCAACAGCAACCACGACATGAGCCCACAAAGTGGTGAGTTTCCCGTTTCCTCCCCCAACAGCTTATACGCCACCAGGGAAAGCAAGCGAAAAGGCCAAGCCCTATGCTGGAGGACCTTGGCTTGAACAAGATCTCCACATTGCTTACTCACATGGGTGACGTTAAAACACAAGCCAACCCGCGTGTTGGGTCAGTTCAAAAAAAGCCCACACCCCCATGGTTGATTCCGAAAGCACTTCCAAAACCCCGTGGTGCTTGACCTGTTTGACAGAATACACGCCCCAATCTTGGCTTGCTTTCAACAAACACGACTTGATTGACTCAAAAAACCATGCGGCCATGTTGGTCGACTTTCTCGCAGGACCGGCCGCCATTCGACCGCGCCAGCGAACCCAACCCCCATGTTGGCAGCCAACGGTGGGGTGGTGCATTTTCTGGAAATCCAACATTCGACGCGGGTATTCTTTCAAGTTCAACCAGCGTGGATGACGGGTTTGCTTGTGAAATCAAGCAACATGGGTCTCGGGTGTCCTTTTCAAATGCACGAAGAAAGGGATTGATTTCCTGCTAGCACCAACAAGGGTGGTTCGGGTTTCTTGTTAAGTGAAACGTTCATTGGGCAACACCAAACCATTGCGTCTCTCAATCAGGAGCCCTGAGCTGTCTGTGTGTGTGTGTGTGTCCATGTGTCTTGCTTGCAAGCCCATCTAGCAGGGATTCCAACTTTTTTTTAGACAGAGGGAACTCAGGTTTGTTGAAATGCTAGGTATCCCAGTAGTGCCCTTTTGCACTTTGTTGGCGGGAGGGTTCCCCTCCAAAATAGGCTACAGAAAAAAAGTACCCTTATTCTAACCTCTCTACTGGAGGACCTAGAATGTCCTTCCTTGGAATATACCATCAACACCAAGGGCCGTTCTTCGGCTGCAGGTGCACAGAAGAAAACCCCTGTGATGTGAGCGATGGCGCTGAGCTCAGGACTTGAAATGGCGTCTCAGCTTGGCGGTTTCCAGCTACCCCGCGACTGGGGGAATTCTTGCGTTGGGATTTGTGACGCTTCATCGTCTAACTTCGGGCAAGAGTTCAAGAGCAACTTGACGTTCCTTCCAGGTAACCCCAGTTTATCAATAGAGGGGTGTTCCCCTCCAAAAGTGGTCCGATTCCCCACTAAATATGTTTATAGCCTGTTTGTGTGCGAACCATAGTGAGCTCGTTCGGGGGTTACGAGCTGGGACTTGGTGAAGGTCAGGGCGCTGGTTCGATCCCCAATGCCTTGGTTTCTTAGCGTGTTTGTGCTACGTAGCCTCAAGGTGCCGCAAGCGATGCAGTGATCGGATTTTTTTCGGCAGGGCCCCTGAGGTACCACGTTTTGGGTTGAGAAAAAAAGGAGCCAACCTGCAAGGCCTGGAGGTAAGCAAAGGCATGGATACCTTCAGCTTTTGGGGGGGGGGTGTGCGAGAAGCACAGTACTTATGCAGTGCGATTGGGGGGTGCTAGCAAGGCGTCATATCAGAGCCTAGTGGCCCCTAAATTTGATGTTCATTTTTCGCGGAAAGTTACATCTTCCAAACGGGTGGCTCGTCTTTTTCTGAGGGTGCCCTTTTTGCGGGGTGAGGGAAACCGGGAGGAAACTCACTCATATTAGGACACCCATTTAGAGACAAACACTTGAATTGTGGGAGCCTAAGCCCACTGCATTAGCAGGTGCCCTTATCAACTGCCAGTGACCCGGTTCCCCTTACCAGGGAAAAACAATATTTCTGAACCCCACGTTTCTTTGTCTGAACCTGGTTGCACTCTGCTATCGCTGGTTTCGAGGCAACAGATAGGCCCTCTCGCTCGACATGTGGCAAACCGCAAACTCGATTCCGACCTGCATCTTACGCATTGGTAGGAAAACCTTTGGGGTCCTCCACTAGCACAAAGACAGGGTGTCCTTGGTCCAACACCTCTAGTGGGTTTCCGTGGAAGAGTAGAGCATCCGCTTTTGTCAGGTAAGTCTTAAACATAGTTTCCTGAACAGAAAGGTGGAACTAAATCTAAACAACAATTCTGTGGAGGTATGAGACCGGATTTGCCTTCTGAACCTTGCAATCAGTGGATGGAATTACTGGTCAAGGAAACTGCCTCCCCACTCAGCTTGCAAGCACTTGTAGGAAGTCGGCCCAATGATCTTTTGGAAGACGTGCATGTGGGTATGGCTCAAAATTAAAGGGCTACGCTTACGCAGGTTTAAGTCTTTGGCTCCATTTACCAATTTACCAAGGTGCCATGTTTGTACCACTTTTTGAGCCACAGCCACGTCGCATCATGCATCTTGAGTATCAAGTTCCGCCGCTTCTCAGCGGTCTGCCATCGCCTTGTGCGGTTCCTAACCAACGCAGAACTTGTCAAAGCATCAGCTGCTCCATCAAATTTGGGACCAAGCGATCAGGTCAAAAGAATGAATGAGGGGTACACAGAGTTGTTGCGGCGAGCAGGGAGCATTGTTTTTTTGGGGTAGACAACTACATTTGTCTTTTTTTTAATAAACCCAACCCAAGGGTTCTTATTGAGAAAGCTGTTTGGTTAATGGGAGCCCCATGCGAAGCGACCGATCTCCGACGAAAAGCCGCAGCTCAGGGGGGCTTCCTGCGAGCAGCCGGGCCGGATCCTCAGATCCGGGCGGTTAGGTGCCAAAAGGCCGGGTAGGTCCTCAGGTGCTGTGGATGGACAAGATCCTGCACTTTGAAACATGGGAACCAATTTGTTTGGTATTTGCAGAAGAATCATCATTCCAGAGAATCTTTGGTGCAGGATTTCGTCCATCCACAGTATGTAAAGGATTCAAGGATGAATCTCTGCTTCCCTCAAAAAGGAGTTAGGGGGGTTTTGGAGCCTGCTGGTTTGGTTGTGTTGTGGGTTTCTCATTTAATTTTCAAGAACCAGGGGTTCTATTCCAAATCCAAACCACCTATCCACAGCACCAACTCAGGGTTGCCGGATATAAGGAACCTTGCGGGAGGGCCATTTATTCAGCACAAGATTCCCTACCGGATGCTGGACGTGCGATGAGACTCGCAGATTTCTTACCAAGCTGCCATCCCATTCCCAGTTGATCCTTTGTTTTGCAGTGTCCTCAGTGGTGGTTTGCTCATTTGATTTTGCGAGTGTGTTTGCCAGTGTTATGTTTCTTGGTGGCTCCCAGCCATCCCCTTAGCTTTTTAGCCTTTTAGAGTTTAGTGCGAATTTCCATTTAACCCACTAAAGGTCGAACTTTTAGCGGGGAATCTTGGGACAGCCCAGTTGCGAGTGTGTTTGCAAGTGTTATGTTTATCGGTGGTACTTGAACGGTGAACGGGGCTCCCTTGCTCCCAAGTAATAGAAGGGGAGTTCTTATTAGGGAAAGGAGCTATTGAGTCTGTCCAAGTTGTTTGGCACGTTGTTGAGTATTGGTTTGGATCGGGGGTTGTCTTGCTTTAGTATTGCTTTGTGTTGGCCCGATGCTGTACATAATCGCCTTAGTATTGGCTTGTTATTTCTTGGTGCTGGTCTGATGATGTTCCGACTTGGATAAGTTGTGGTTAGCTTGTTTTAGCCAGGAGATCCTGAGTTTTCTTGGTGCATTGTCTAACTTCCAGTGGCACCCATATTCCTGGCTTGCCCACCAGAAATGGTCACTCTAGTTTTCACTGGGCAATGGCCTTGCTGGTGACCTCGTGTTATGCATAGTGTGTTTTTTTGGAGAAGGACGCGATGGGACCATCAAAATCCCGTAGAACCATGCGGACGAGGCCCTACGGCTTCGGGAAAAATGCGTATGATTTTGTTTTGGTTTTTCCTCGTTATCCTTTTCCGAGGCCTGCGTGGCTTGCAAAGCTTACACCTTAAACAATCTAGATGGGCTATGAAGAACAACGGAACGTAGGTGGGTTCCTTCGTTTGGGTGTGTTTCTTTGTTTGTTTCGGGGACCCCCTCAAATGGTGGTTTTCCCTTTGGCTTCCCTTTACAACAACCGAAAAGCAGGTACCTCAGAAAAGGCACCCATGTCAGGTTGTTTTTTGTTTGCACATCTCGTATTCTCCATGTGACATTTATGTTGCAATCGCCTTTTTGTTCGATCTGGAAGCATCATTGCCGTTAGGCATCCCTTGTCTCAAGCTCTAGATTCTTTTCTTCGAGTCCCGGAATATAATTGCTTGTTCTAGGAACCAAGCCCTCCATGTCGATGCCAGGCGTGCAGAAGGCATGTGTCCCACATACCCCCATTTGGCGTTTACGGAGAAATGAAAGGGAAGCCAGTTCTGTAGGCATCCCTTTTGAACTGGTGTCCTTAGGTTACTTTGGTCAGGCATAGATGGTTTAGATTGGTTTTGTTACCCATTTATCGATTTGGGCCCCTCGGGTTTTCCAAAAGGTCACCTACAAGCACCTCCCCAACCCCTGCTTTTTGGGACATTTTCAAGGGAATGTTGGGCCATGAAAACAACGACGACAACAACAACGACGACGACAACAGCAACAGCAACAGCAACAGCAACAGCAACAGCAACAGCAACAGCAACAGCAACAGCAACAGCAACAGCAACAGCAACAACAACAACAACAACAACAACAACAACAACAACAACAACAACAACAACAACAACAACAACAACAACAACAACAACAACAGGCAAGTTGGGGGGCTGCTGGTATTTGGAACAAAAACAATCAACAGGCAAAAAGGGGTCTGGTATGAGCAGAACATACAGTTTTCTGTGTACCCCTTGCGCCGATTTCCACCGTGAAACCGGGGCCCTCGAAAAGTCCCCCGAGCGAGGCTCGCCTTGCTGGCGGAAGTTGGGGACGAGAGCTTCTTCATCACTGCGCCTTGTCCGAATTGTCACACGCATAGGTGTCTTTTAGGTCCTACACCCGCAACAGCCCGGGGTCTGTCCAAATGTAAAAAAAGGCTACACAATATGAAGCAGGTTAATTACTTTAGCTGCTGAATGGATGGTGATTGTTGGTTCCTTTTTGGTTGTTGCTAGAATAGTGCTGGCATTTTCTGGTCGACCCATAGAGGTCCTTCTTCGTTGTAGAAAATCGATGATTCCCGAGTGACCTGGCTGTTTCAGAATCTTTTCCCAGGAGGCCACCTACCGTCTGGCCCATTTCCGGCAGCCAAAGGACACCTGACACTCCCTTTTTGTTGTTTGATCAAGTCGATTCATATGGTGGACTCACTCAGCTTCCACCAGGCAAAGGTCATTTTTAGCCGTGCCCCCAAAGGCGGAAGTAGACTTGGCTCATGCAAAGTGCCATCCTTCGGATCGCTGGTTATCGGAGCCTCGGGCCATCCCCATCCTTGTGACAAAGAATAGGCACCGGGTGGTCTTAGAGCAGTTCTATGGATTGACAAAATCCTGCAGCTGGGATGGATGAAAGCCCACAACGAAGTGTGATGAGCCTACCAGAGAACTGCTGCGCAGGGGGTTTCCCCATCAACATCACAGAAGTGCAATCCCCGAGAGCCTTGAAGGTTTGCGGAGGGTCCTAAGGAACTTACGAAGTTGGCAAAGAACTCATACTTCAAGAGGAGAATCAGTGGCCATGTCTTGTGTATTCTTTAAAGGGCAGTTGAAATTTTGAAGAGGAAGTTACGTGCACCAGAGAAGAAACGCCATGAGCAAGCTACGGAAGAGATGGCGGTCAAGTACACAAGTGGTACTTCAAAATGAAGAATGACGCAAGCAAGTGGTTGATGCCTAGTGTGACCTTCAACCTTGGGAACTTGACTATAGCTCACTACCATGAGCCACGGTGAATATGTGCGTGCGTGTCTTTCTTGGGCCCCCCTCCTCACCAAACCGGTGGCTTCCTTTAAAGCAAACCCAAACAAGGGTATCATCAACAAAAAGAGACACTCACATGGCTTGTAAGTACCATGATTGTCTGTAGTATCTGGGATGATATTGGGCACACGCTTCAACTTACCTTTAGGAGAGCGAGCTACTTGCCGCATGTTCATGTCAGCTGGCAAGGCCATGAGTACTAACTGATGCGCACATATTGGCGTTGGTCAACAGCCAAGCTAATTGAACATCAACGCACCTTGTGGTGTCTGGGCATGGCAGCAAATACCAATTGGTTGTTGAGGAAGGCGAAAACACTTTGCTTTTGTAGCGATACCGAGCAAACTAGTCATAGAGGTTCAAAGTGGTTGACCCGGGGTAAGGGTTTGGTGTACTGGGTGTGGGGTACTTTCAATCCAAATTAAGTCATGATCATAAGATAATGTAGTCCGTTGTAGGTCCCGTCGCGAGGGTCACGGCCAGCCAGTTTCCGGGACTGCTTCGGGGCAGATTTGTCCGATGACACTGATGCCACGCTAGCAACCCAAGAAGCGGCATTTATCGCAGGCAAAATGACATCTGCGCTCCAGTTGAAAGGCTCGGCCGAGGCTGTGGGTCTTTGGTGAAAAGAAGTTAGTGGAGGGTCGGGCCGATGCATGCACGGTTTCGCTATCACCAAGTTGCTCTAATTACTAACGAGTGTTTCTCAGGTTGCATTGCGCAACTTGGAGTGTTTTTGTGAGAAGCCTGTTGTTTAGTGCCCGCTTCCATTTGCTTAAGGCAATCTGTTTTGTGGATGCAGGAACATTTCATGATTGTGAAATGTTTGTTATGTTTTCACAGCAGCAAATTGGAAGCTAACTGAGTGGAAAGATGGCATCTGTTGTTTTTCTCTATGGCCACTGGGTGTCTCTCAGTGTTGTTTACCTTCCATTTGCTTAAGAATTGAGTCATCCATTTTCCCTGTTGGACTTGAAGGGAATCTATCACTACTGGAGATATCACTACTGGAGATCTTGATTCTTTCGTCCTCGGCCGAAAACGCCGATGCCAGTACCCCCACGCCCGCCCGAGCGCGCGCGCTGCGCGCGCGGTTCGGCCGAGGTGCTTTTGGCGGCCTGGTGCCCCCTGCAGGGCGTCAGAAGCGGCGCACGCCTGGAGTACCCGCTGGCCGGGGGCCCGGACGCGCCAAGGGCGCCTTCCGTTTGCTTCTTGGCTTTAAAGGGAATCTACCACTACTGGAAATATTCGTTTGTATTATTTTTTTACAAGGGGATTGAGCAAATGGAAGGAGCGGTTTGACTCCAGGTGACGTTGACTTCGGCTGAGTCCAGGTTGACTTTTGACGAAGGGGTTTGTTCAAAAAGGATCGGAAGGGCTGAGTTGTTGTGTTTTTGTTTCCTTTTTTTCTCGAGATGTTATTTTATATTTGTTTGTTTTAAAAAATATTTTGGACTTTTGAGTGTTGTATTCTTGCAAACACATGTTGTGTTCTAGGGTATAGGCTGGATATGGAACAGAGCCAGAAGACAGGCTGTTATCATTTCTTTTGTAACCAAGTGTTGTTTTCATTTGACTATTTCAGGTAAACAGACAGTTTGGACTTTTGGGTCAGATGCTGCAACTGCTGGAACCCCCCCCCCCCCGCGGCAAGAGTTGCTTATAATCGCTTAGGCTTTCCCCAAACCTTCTGGAGAACTTTCTGGAGACATGTTCCTTGACTGCCTTTCGTTCTGTGAGTCGTTTCTTTTTGCTCGGCTTCCCGTGAAAGTCAAGTGACGGCAGAGTGCGCCGGTGCCCACTTTTTCCAACAAGGTGCGGAGGCGGGGCAAAACTGCCACCAAACGCGCAGGGTGCTCAACCAACACGGAGGGTGCTGCTCGCAGTTCAACTGAACCAGAAGCCCAAGAAGATGCATGTTCGAATTTTGTGGTTGAGGCTTCCCCTCCAAAATTTACCAACAAGAAGTCGCAGGCCTTCTTTCTGCGGTTGGTTTGCTCGACCGAGGTGGCGCTGGGAAGTCTTTCGGCCGTCAGCTCAGCTGACAGACCTTGACCTTCGTACGCCTTTGGCCCTTTGTCGGGTTGCCAATGGTGACCTTCGACTACCTGGAGTCTCCACGACCCTTGAAAAATGGGTCCATGACCCCTTTATTTTGGGTAATGACCCCATGTTGAAAGGGTCATGGAGACTCCAGGTAGACCTTTTTACTTTGGGGAGATCACTGCTATCGTGCAAACACTCGCCGGGTCGACAAGTCAAAGAGCCGACAGGTGTTTCCCAATGGGGCAGTGTCCGAGGGTGCATTCGAAGCCTTTCCCAATCCTTTGCGGCAATCTACTATGCTGGGTAAGGGCGTTTTACCTTTGGGTTGTTTGCCGGATAATTATCTTTGCTTCCTGAAGCCATAGCGGCTCGCCAGCGGAGCACTCGGCTTGCTGGAAAAGAACCCGCAAAACCCCTTGTTCTAGTTGTTTCGTTTCATTTGTTCCCAGTGTGTTTGGTGGGTTCGGGACCCACTAAAAAGGTCAATCCCAGAAAGGCTTCCTTTTTAGAACAAGGGAAACGACAGGACGTTATTTGAGTGATAGTGGTGTACACAGCATGCTTAACCCAGGGGAGGGGCCAACCCTGCCTGTGTCTCCTTTTGCGGATACCATGTTTGGGGGCTGACTCGTCGAACTGTTTCTTGGAACCTTCATGTTTGCTTTCTGTTTGGGGAGGGGGGGACCATTTTGGGGTTGCTTTTTGAGAGACAAACCTAAATAATGGTTTAATGAGGGGGCTGTGCGATTTGAGCGAAAGTTTGAGGCGCTTCTTCTGCGTGTGGCACTGCGACATTTCGGGCTGTATGCCTCTGCCGGCTTAGGCAGGGGGCGTGGAGACGGGGTTGTGAAGTGCCGAAATCGGCCGCAGACAAGCTACCCGGTTGACCGTTTGTCGCGCGTATGTTGATTGATTGAATGTCGTGGTTTCCCTTGGTTTGCGGTTTGAGTTTGTTTGTGGAGGTTGATTGGATGAATGTCACGGTTGCAGGGATGACGAACAGTTTGCCCCGCTTGCATTTTTGTTTGTGCATCTTTGGCAAGCGGACGGAGTTTGGGCCCAAAGCGGTCCTCATTCCCAGGCAGAGAGCAAGCTGAAGGATATGTACCAATATGTACGGTTCTGTACGGTCTGAACATGGTCAAAACACATTAGGAAATATTTGGGTTTGGTTTGCGTAGGTTCCTCCAGGGACCAAGTTTCTACGCAGACCTGCCGATCGGATCTTCGGAACATCGATATTCTTGCATGGGAGATCAAGCCAGTTTCCACATGTTGTTTTGTTCCCCACCCGACAGGAAGGGGTTGTCAGATTTTATGTTGGAATCCGCGTTTGCGATGCTTCTACACCACGCCCCCACCCAGTATCCCGCCAGAGCAGCTCGCCAGTGGATCCCGCCGAGTATCCCGCCAGAGCAGCTCGCCAGTGGATCCCGCCGAGTATCCCGCCAGAGCTGCTCGCCAGTGGATCCCGCCCAGTATCCCGCCAGAGCTGCTCGCCAGTGGATCCCGCCGAGTATCCCGCCAGAGCGGCTCGCCAGTGGATCCCGCCGAATATCCCGCCAGAGCGGCTCGCCAGTGGATCCTGCCGAGTATCCCGCCAGAGCGGCTCACCAGTGGATCCCGCCGAGTATCCCGCTGAGTATCCCAGAGTAGCTCGCCAGTGGATCCCGCCTCAGTGGATCCCGCCGAGTATTCCGCTGAGTATCCCAGAGTAGCTCGCCAGTGGATCCCGCCGAGTATCCCACCAGACCACCCGCCAGTAAATCCCGCCGAGTATCCCTTGCTGGTGGATCCTGCCGAGTATCCGGCCAGTATCGAGCCGGAGCGGTTCGCCAGTATTCGCCAGTAGATCCTGCCAGTGCCCGCCAGAGCAGCTCGCCAGTCTGGTTTTGCTTAATGTCCCGCCCGGCGCACAGTTGGGTTTACTTTTCATGTTGGCACCTTCGTGTTTTGAGTGTGCCCTGAGGCTCGGAAAGGGTGATGCTTTTGTGTTGCTTTGGGTTGTGAATAAGCAACTTAGTTTAGTCCCCCGTCGGGCTTCTTTTTGGAATGGGCTTGGCTTTTGTTAACGGAGCCGATGTTTGAGTTCTCGAGATCGGCTCGCAGACAAGTGGGGTTTGACACAGAGACAGGTGGATAAGGCTCTCAATGCAAAGCTTGTTGAGCAGTCATGGGCCCCAAGCCACTCGAAAACCGCTTGAATTCACACAACCGTGTTCACGGTCGTAAGCTCGTGAGTGTGGAGGGTGGGGATTGCTCGAAGCGAAGTAATTTTTGTTGGCAATTTCGCAGTGTTTGTTGTTGTTTTTTTTGAAGGCCAACTTCACAAATCCATTGCTAAGGTTGACTTTCAAATCTGTCAGTGTTTAGGCTGCATGCTTACGCTGAGGATTGTTTGGGCAACCAACAGAGCGCTGCTTCTGTCGACCTCGGGGCTCGGAGTGGCTTTCATCGGCCCAGAGCGTTGCCCCGAAACTCTGGGAGAAAAGTGGCGCCTCAAAGGGGTGAAACCGAGGGAACTCGAGGTTCCCACTGAACGGGAAAAATGAGAGAGTTCGAAGGAAAACGGGGATGTGCTCCAAAGGATCCAGGCTTCACCGTCTCCCCGAGGATTGGGGGTTTGGAGGGGTTCGGGGATAGCTGTGCGTTCATCTACAGAAGCCAGGGGTTCAATTCCCCAACCTAGGGCTTCAAGAACCTGTAAAAATGTCGTACCCTGACTAAAACATGTTTTTTCTCGATTTTCTGAAAACATCGTGTTTTCAGGAAAAACATCGTGTTTTTGATAAACCCCCTTAAACATGGGCTTCTGAGGCCAAACACTCGGTTTCAACTGAGGGCAACGCTCTATACTGAGTATGCTTCAAATTCTAAGGACCACATTGATGAGCCTGACAGCCAGGGTGTGCAGCTGGCTTCAGTCTTGAAGCACCTTTCACAGCAACAGGCACCTGAAGACTGGCGCCAGGTCATACCGAACCAGTTTGAAGGGGGTGCTGGAATCCGAAAGCTCCTTTTGGTGCAAAACAAGACCAGGTGACACCTTTTGAGATTGTTTTTTTAAAGCAAAAAAATGAGTATTTTTTTAAGAAAATGGGGTGGGATCCTGGCGGCTAACCGCAGAAACCCGTAGAAAACCCGTAGAAAACCCGTAGAAAACCGGTAGAAACCCGTAGAGCCCGCAGCCCCAACCGAAAACATCGTGTTTTTGGAAAACATCGTGTTTTCTAACCCGTAGCTAAACCGTGGAGAGCCCGTAGTAAAGCGTGGCAAACCGTGGAAATTCTATGGGTTTTTCGGGTTCAACCACGAAAGCGCTAATTCGAGAATGTTGCTGGAAAACAACGAAGTCGTGAGCAAAAGCACGGTCTTTGCTTGAGCTTGCGTGCTGTTCGAAGCCAGCAAGCCCTCATCATGGCATTGCTGCTTGACAAGTGTCATAAAACCGTGGTACTTTTGACTATTTGGGTCCCCGGCCTCCTTCTTTCAGATTGGAGTTGCGAAAGACGCGTGGCGAATGCGAAGCTGATTTCGTTACGAGCGCAAAAGGGGAGGGCGATGGGAGATTCTGAGGTTGAGATGATGCTTTTGAGATCTTTTGAGAACGCATGACGAGTTGAAGGAATGTATGGGAAAATGCTTGAAATCGAAAATGCGGTGTTTCCCGAAAACATCGTGCTTTCCAAAAAACACTGTGTTTTTTGTAGGTATGACATTTTCATCGGTTTTTGAGGCTCCTGGAACCTGCAGGTGTCCAGTGGCTAAGGCCCACAGTCAACCGCTTCATGGACAGCCCAATTGTTGAGCAGTCTAAAGGAACTGTTAGTCCCATTTCAAGGTGCCACCTGTGGGTCCAAAGCCATGTGAAACAGAGTCTCAACATGATATTTCCCATCTGATGTGGCCCAAGCCATGGTGGAAATACTACTGTGAAGGACCAAATCCTGCGGCCGGGATGTTCATCCACATGGTGGAAACTCGTATCATGTGAGGCCCGGCGGGGCTATCTGGGAATCCTAGTATTGCCCATGTTTTGGGGGGGCGGGGGTCCATGAGAGAAAGCTCCAGTTGGTTTCCAAAGAAAAGCAATCACGATTTTAAATACCCTCTCGTCCACGTTGCCACGGAACCCACTCGGTTGTGGGCCCCTTTAGGAAACTCGGTTCTCCTCTTTTTTGGTTCCATGTTTGGACGGGAGGGCGTTTTATGTGGCGCTATATAATTCCAAACCTTAAGCAAATGAGCCACTTGCTCAAAACCCGGGCAGATGAAGGTTTTTGGAGAATCCCCTTGCCATAAATAGCTGCGGATATCCGCCTTCTTATTTCTTTACATGGCTCGGGGATTACGACCATTTTAATACCGGGTTTTGTTAACCAAAGGGTCGAGGGAAAATCACGGCATGGAAGCCCCTTTCGGGTTTTAATGATGACTCAGATGTATGTTGTTGCTTTTGTGTGTGCGTGTTTGGTGTAAAGGGTATCAGTTGTTGTTTTGCTTTACATGTTTTAAAGATTGGTTTCACACGACTTACATCTGATGACTCAACTGGCGGGAGGTATGGTAGCTGGATCTCAAGGCCAAGACTTCGCGCCAGGCCAGGTGCTACCGCTGCAGCTTTGCGCGGTGCTGCTGGCCGGCCTCTCGGCGCGACCCTTGGAGCTGAATGCCAGGCGGTCCCAAAGGCCGAGGAAAAAACACGGGGCGCCTTGTGAGTGGGTCAATTCGCAGCCAAAACACAAGGGGCCTTGCTGGGTGGGTCGATTCCTTCAATTGAAGATGTTGAGGGGTGTTTGGGCCCAGGAAAGAAGCTCAATTATTGGATTTTCTCAGGGCGCAGTTTGCCAATTCAAGTCTAGCAGCTGCCACTGGCAGAAGGAACAAACTGAAAAGGACTGTTTGGCCGGGTTCGAAATTCGTCCGTCCGAATGGACTGAGGCGCGAGCGTACTGGCAATGGACAAGCCGAGGTGCTCTGGCAAGCGCCGAATGCCGAGCGTGAGGGAGCCATCGTGTTTTTCTGGTACTTGGAGTCTCCATGACCCTTCAAAAATGGGGTCATTACCTTGAAGGCGGGGTCATGGACCCATTTTTACAGGGTCATGGAGACTCCAGGTAGGGACATTGACCATTTGGGTGTGTCTTTTACGGATTCCTCAGGACCGATTTTGACCATCACAAATGAGCCGTTCGTTTTACACGTGGGAGTTTTATTCAGGCAAAGACGCAGAGGAGAAAGTAGAGGTGGGTCGGGAAGTTTGGATGGTTGAAATCAGTTGTTGCAGCCGTGGATTCGACAACCAGCCGGTGTTCCCCTTGGTGTAACATACTGCAGATGGGACTATTTCCTGCACCACTGTGAAGCCAAGGGAAACCATTTTGTTTTGATATTTACAGGGGGATCAAATCATTCCATGGTTTCTGAACAATATTAATTTGTTTCTTTGTTTCTGCAACCATCCACAGTAGTTTGAGATTCGTTGGCACATATTTTTACTGTGAGTTCCTTTTCGGGGGCCCAAACGCTTCACTTATGCCGATGCGGTCGTTGGATCATGCGGGCGATGGTGGCCCAACAAGCTCAAGCCTTCTGGATTGTTTGCGTCGCCGTGCATCAAAGGGCCATGATTTCAGAGTTGTGTTGACGCCGGATGAATGTTGACCCCGGTTAATGGGGGAGGGGAACACCCCCTATGATTTTTTTAATATTCCGGGATCAACATTATATTCACAAGACGTTCATGTTCCCTCAGAAAGGTACTACTGTGGATGGACGAACTCCTGCACCACTTTGGAGCCATGGTTGAAACCATTGTTTGCTTTGATATTTGCAGGGGAATCGAATCATTCCCTTGGGTTTCTGAACGGTGGTGCGTTGCATGGAGTTCGTGAGCCCGCGGATCTGCTTATCGCACGCCGGCCAGGGGAGCCTGAAAAGCGGGCGGCCAAGACAGACCATGGGCATGGGGAGGTTGCCGCGTCCGCGCCAAACATGTTCCATTTGCTTAAAGCCAGGTCTTATTTTCCACCTGGTTTTAAAGGGAATCTATCACTGGAAAAAATGTTTGTTTGTTTTTTTTAAGGACATGGCAGAAACGCTCTGGGAAGGGTCCGTAAAAATCAATCAAAGGCGTGGTTCGCAGATGGCAGGGCAACTCCCCTTCAGAGATGAGAGTTTGTTTTTTGGAAAGGCCTACCATTCCCAGTGCTTCCAGTTACCACCATAAGGTTGATAGCATTTTTGGGTGATCATAGTTGTTTTACTTCTAGGTTTTTCATGATGGGTTCTTGTGGATACATACAACCATGTCACAAAGGTTCAAAGGTTTTTGTGGTTACCAGATCCGATGCCGTGCCCTTTGGTCGAACTCCTTTGGGATGCGTGTGGCAATGCTGGGCGTCCCAAGGGGCTTTGGTTTGCGACCTTTAGGTAGAGTCAGGGAAACTTATAGAGCGTGCTCTCGCCCGGAGAGATCCGAAACCCATCTTATAGCTGCACCCCCTATCCAGGGCACCCCCCCCATTGGATTGATGAGTCCTAGTTTCCCATTTGACGAGGCATCGTTAAGCAACACCCATCTACTCGTGTGAAATTCGGCCCAAATGATCAGCAGACTCTTTTTTTTTCGTGCAATCACTACTTTCTTGTCACTAACTTGTGTGCTATTAATACGGCCAGCCCCTGAGGTTTGCCGGCGCCCGGAACCAACGCCCCAACACCAAGACCCGGAGATCACGAAGCTCCGACCCGCCTGAAGCATTTTGTCTGCGCTGCCACTGCTGTTACTTTGTCACGATTCGTAAAGCCAAGCGCAGCTAAGCCATAAAAACCCTAAACCTAACCCTAAAAACCCTAAACCTAAACACTGAAAGCCCTAAACCTAAGCCTAAAAACCCTAAACCTAAACCCTAAAAACCAAACCTAAACTTTAACAACCCTAAACCTAACCCTAAAAACCCTAAACCTAAACACTGAAAGCCCTAAACCTAAGCCCTAAAAACCCTAAACCTAAAAACCCTAAACCTAAACCCTAAAAACCCTAAACCTGAACCCTAAAAACCCTAAACCTAAGCCCCAAAAATTCTACACCTAAAAACCCTAAACCTAAACCCTAAAAACCTAAAACCTAAACCCTAAAGACCCTAAACCTAAATCCCAACAACCGTAAAACCCTAAACCTAAACCCTAAAAACCATAAAGCCCCAAACCGAAACCTAAACCCTAAACCTAAAACCCTGAACCTGCCTGCCACCCACGCCCTCGCGGTACCACGGCCCTACGTTCTGAAGAGAACGGAGGTCACCACGTGTCAAATATGGCTGCACGAGTTCTGCTACTTGACTAGTAAAGGGTGCCATACTTGAACCACGTGCTGCAGGAACTCGAGTCACCTGGGCATGGGCAGGACAAGCGTGGATTAGGGGGTGACGGCAAACCTCGGGGGCTGTGGGTATTAATAGGGTCACCCGCAGAAAATGGATCGTTTCCTCTTTGACGCCACTCCGAAAGCGGCTTTCCATTTTTTCCGATCAGCTGTCCAAAGGCTACCGGTGGCCTCGGGAGCTGTGCCGCGTTACGGCGGCTCCTTCCTGGGGAATTTCCAGGCGGGGAATGAAGAACCAGAACCCGTCTAGGTTTTTAATTTTTTTCCCTTTTTTTTTTTCCGGAGGGACCCCCAAAATGGCTTTGGTAGTTGTTTCTTGGTTTTCCTGCAGCACCAGGAAAGACTTTTTTGGTTCTCCTGCAACACCAGGAAAGAAGGGGCTCCCTCGAAAAAAAATACACCCACTATGAGGTCCTCGGGTGGAGGTAGATTCGATTCGTCGATATCGCAAGATGCTGCATTGGCCGCTTTGCAACGATATAATTATGCTGGGGGTTATGTCCACGAACGACTTTTGGGTGGATTCACCAACCATATGGGCTATCGAGACCAAGAGCTTTGGGTCCTCGCTCCTGAAGCTGCAATGGTTCATAGGGTGCCAAATAATTGGCGACCATTGTGCAAGACTTGTCCAAAGCAAGAAACCAAAGGGGGGGGATGGGTGATTTGCATTTCTTCCAGAGCCGCATTGCTTCACAGCAACCATCAGCAAACTAAGGACTGTTTTGTTGGGGCCAATTCTAGCGACCTCACAGAGGAGGTCTTGTATGAAGGTTTGCGTTGGTTGCTCATTACGGTGAGTTTCATTCTGGAGGACGCCAGGACGGCTAAGGAAGAGTTCCATTGACTGCCAGCAGGGTTGCCCATCTGGCCATGGGTCAAAACCCCGTACCCCCAGTGAACATCCCAATCCCCATTAAAATTAAGAGTTTTCGTCCAGCCAACCGTTGAGGGAGGTTAAAATAATTTATTTTGTGATTTGGAAGTGAGGGTTGGAGCAAGAAAATAGCAATCTGAAAATTAAGAGCAACCTGAAAAGCAAGAACAAAGTGATTCACTTGCAACAGTTGACACAAAAAAGCAAGAACATAGTGATCAGATGGTCATCAAATAGTGATTTGGGCACCTCAAAATAGCAAGCATCCAAATAGGGATTATATGGGAGATCACTATTTTCCTGATTTTTTTTGCAGGCGACAACCCTCAAAACCTGAAATCTGCAAATCACAACGGGAGATCACTATTTTCTTGCTTTTTTTGGAGTGGGAAATCACTATTTTCTTGTTTTTTTTGGAGGCGACGACCCTCGAAACCCGAAAATCTGCAAATCACAACGGGAGATCACTATTTTCTTGCTTTTTTGAAGTAGGGAAATCCATATTTTCTTGTTTTTTTTGGAGGCGACGACCCTCGAAACCGGAAATCTGCAAATCACAACGGGAGATCACCATTTTCTCGCGCCCCCGGAGGGGGAAACCCATTTTTTTTGGAAGCGACGACCCTCGAAACCCGAAAATCTGCAAATCACAACGGGAGATCACTATTTTCTCTTGCTTTTTTGGAGTGGGAAATCCCTATTTTCTTGTTTTTTTTGGAGGCGACGACCCTCGAAACCGGAAATCTGCAAATCACAACGGGAGATCACTATTTTCTTGCTTTTTTGGAGTGGGAAATCACTATTTTCTTGTCTTTTTGGAGGCGACGACCCTCGAAACCCGAAAATCTGCAAATCACAACGGGAGATCACTATTTTCTTGCTTTTTTGGAGTGGGAAATCCATATTTTCTTGCTTTTTGGGCAGGCGATGACCCTCGAAACCCGGAAATCTGCAAATCATAGCGGGAGATCACCATTTTCTTGCTTTTTTGGATGTTGTCGCCTGCAAAAAAAACACAAGAGAATAGGGATTTCCAATTCCAATACAGCAAGAAAATAGTGATCTCCCGTTGTGATTTGCAGATTTCCGGGTTTCGAGGGTCATCGCCTGCCCAAAAAGCAAGGAACAAGTGATTCCCCACTCCAAAAAAGCAAGAAAATAGTCATCTCCCGTTGTGATTTGCAGATTTCCGGTTTCGAGGGTCGTCGCCTCCAAAAAAAACAAGAAAATATGGATTTCCCACTCCAAAAAAGCAAGAAAATAGTGATCTCCCTTTGTGATTTGCAGATTTTCGGGTTTCGAGGGTCGTCGCCTCCAAAAAAAACAAGAAAATAGTGATTTCCCACTCCAAAAAAGCAAGAAAATAGTGATCTCCCGTTGTGATTTGCAGATTTCCGGGTTTCGAGGGTCGTCGCCTCCAAAAAAAACAAGAAAATATGGATGTCCAACTCCAAAAAAGCAAGAAAATAGTGATCTCCCGCTGTGATTTGCAGATTTGCTGGTTTCGAGGGTTGATCACAATTTTCTTGCTTTTTGTTTCACAATTGTCTTGCTATTTTCTTGCTATTTCTGGTCTCTTGTTTGCTGCATTCTTGCTTTTTTAGTGCCCACTGTTTGCTCTAAATCACTTTTTCCTTGCTTTTTTTTCCCACCCGAAACTATTTTCTTGCTCTGTTGCTTGCTCTACATCTCACAAAAAAAATAAAACAGCATTTTCCAATGGTTGGCTGGTTTCGCAAGTCTTAACATTAAAATAGGCTAAAAGGGGTGGTGCACCTATCCCAAAATGGTACCATTAATTTTGAACCATGGCCATCTGGGACCGGGTGTGTCTTTTTGTTTTCATGGTTGGACGCAGTAAAAATGCGAGTTGTCCTTTTGGTTTTGTTTTTAAACCCCCAAACGAGGGGTGCACAACAACTCACCCATCTTGCGCCGCGACGTGCGACCTTCGGCACGCCAAGCTGAACAGCTCGCCAGGCGTACAACCCAGCAGAACGGCCGGCTTCAGGCAGGAGGGATGTGGCCCGGCCAAGATGAATGAAGTCCCCGCTTCATGGCAACCAACCGCCGCGGAATTTGGAGAAACCCCCAACTTGGGCCGAAAGAGGACAACAGCTTAGACCAGCCACGTCGCCAAGCTGCGATCGTCAATGTCCCCGCCAAACTCCTTGGGGCCTTCTGGCCTGTGGGCTCTTTGGGTTTAGAGGCGCCTGGTTGTGTTCAAGCTAGCTCCCCCAGTGCCCTTTTACCGTTTCTTTTTTGGGCGGAGAGTTCCCCTACTAAAATAAACTACAGAAAAAACGTGCACCCGTATTCTAACCTCTCTACTGGAGGATCTAGTGTTCAAGGGAACACATACCCAGGCATCACTGCCGGGTGACTTTGCAGCAGCGGGTGGTGCCTGAAAAGAGTGCGCAAAAGAAACGCGCCCTGAAGAGACCCCGGTTGAGTGTCAGAGCTGTTGGGAGAGCCAGCCGGCGGTGGCAGGTCCCGTTGTGGTTTTGCGAAGCTTGGTCCACGCTAATTATCAAAGTGGCACGGGAGATTTCAGGAGATATACCGAAATTAAGAAAGAAGCTCCTTTTATCAAGCTTATCGACCAGGGAGTCATACATTTGGAGATTCTCACGGTGACCTGCACGACTCACATTTCTTCAACATTGTGCAGTGAATAATAATATAGAGGTAAAAAACAGAGGTAAACATCTTGGTTACCTTCCACGAACATTGTGCAGTGCTTCCAGCCTTCTGTAGTGAACACCTTGGTTGCCTTCTGTCGTGGTAACTGAAACTTCTGTTTCCAAGTTCGCTGACGGCCAGGCTTGGTTGCAGATGCCCAGGCGACGCGGTGCGACTCGCTGACCCCCCCAACTTTGCGGCGGCCCGGAAAGTCGGGACTCAACTATCCCTTTACAAGCGAAACAGGGTTCCCCCCAATAAACAACATGAGATGTGTTTGGCGGTGTGTGTGTGTGTGTGTTTGGGGGGTGGTTAGGGGTGGGTGAAAAAAGAGCACACCCCATTTTCCACGGGAAGGAGCTTGCCGGAACTAGGATCAACCTGGGGTGAGTACGGGAAGTCCGGAAGCGGAACCCCCGCTATGAATAGGATGGGCGTATTAATCCGGGGTACACCTTGTACAATCGCCTTGGCTGGAATTAGGACCCCAGCAAAAACTGTATAGGGGAAAACAAAGGGGACCCCAAAAGAGCAAAACAACAAAAAACAGCTGATTTTTTGGAAGCTGATCAGCTGATCCTGTTCTAACAGCTTTTTGGTTGCTCGCCCAAGACTCGAGAAGTATCCGTTTGGAAGGTAAATGGCAACCAACTTGGGCAACATGCTGCTTTGACAGACCCAGAAATTGAACAAAATTGCAATGCCAACCAAAAACAAGTGAATTGGGAACCAAAATGCCAACCAACAGCTTCATGGGAATCGCGGCACCTTGGTTGGAACAGACCAAAGCCTGCGTAACCCTAGCTTTCATTTTCAGCTACACGCAAGTGGGTTAGTTTAAAAGGAATTTCTAAAGGACATCAAAAGGAAACCAAATATCAAAAGGGGGTCTCCTGTTTTGAAATGCTCAGCCGCCTCCAAAACACGCCGTGTCTCAGGCAAAGAAGCCGCTGGAGTGCATGGCGTCCCTCGCCGTGCCTCTTGGCCGATTTGTGGTTGACCGCGTGGGGTCCCTGGGCTCGGTTGCCAGCGGCGCCTTTCTTTCTGTTCCTTTTTGGGGGATGGTCCCCCTGTAAAACCACCAACCAAAAAAAGGCGCCATTTTTGGGTCCCATGGCCACTGGGCATCTGAGTGGGTGTGTCTTTAATTGAGGATGCCCCTTAGTAGGTTTCAGATGGACACCAGAGGGAAATCGTTCTTCTTTGGGGGGCGGGGGGGGATGTCCCGTAAAAAGAAGACATACCCGGATATTGATCTACATCGCCTAAGAACATAGGTGGCCTTGGGTCAGATTGAAAATTGATGGCACTAGCTGCAGGTTGTCCTAATCATTTACCAGCGCCATCAATGTTACCAAAAGAAGGGTACCTATGCCTAAGAATTTGTCTACTTTGCTCAACGTTGTCAAATGATTTATATCACCTTTTAAGCGGACACTTCCAGAGTGGTTGGTGGACACCAACTTCCGAATTCTGTTCACCAAAGATTCCCCCGTTAAACTTCACACCCACATTTCCCCCATCGTTGTGTGGCTTTAATTTGATTGCATCGCCTTCTGGGCGAGCTTAAAGTGAGTTTCCTTGTGGGGTGATGGTGAACGGAGAAAATGTTTTTCTAAGCTGGTTTAGCAGCAACACCGTTTTGCCGTTCTACCGTTTTTCCTCCGGAATCTATGGGGAGGACCCCATTTACACCGACCCCACCGCCTAACCAGCACAGAATATGTGGAGCCCTGTTTTGAGGGTGCACCTTGAAAAAGACAAGACACAAGCGCGGAAATCAGCGTGGGTCTGCCGTAAACCTGGGGCATCAGCAGACAACAGCTCGTTCAGGACGGTTCCGACGTATGAGACAAAGCCAGGTCTGGCCGTGCCAGGTTTACTTCAGGCTAGGGATTCTCATCAACATGTTGTTGTTTTTGATTTTTGATTACGTCATCTTACCAGATTTCCCCCGTCACGGGGTTCAGTAAGCTTCGGTTCAGAGGTTCAAGGGGAAATGTCGAAGCTCCAGCGGATCGGCCCATTCGTCTGGGTCGTTCGAAATACATCCGTTTTTTGCTTCTGCCAAATGGTGGTTTGCAGATCCCAGGTTCGGATTCGAGATTCCCGACCATTTCGAACCACACAGTTAAACAGGTAACGAGGCATAGGCCAGCATGGGGAAGCATCCGATCCCCGACCATTTCGAACCACCCAGTGAAACACGTGACCTGGCTTTGGGGCTTTGGGGGCATAGGCCAGGCTTGAAGCATCATAGCCGTCGATCACAGTGATTTGGCCCCGCGTAGGCCCTTGGTGCTGATTTTCCTACAGGAGGCTGGCAGTCAAGGCACGGATGGAGTTGGTTCCAGGGCGCCGTGCGGTTTTGAGGGTGCCGTTTTTTGCTTGGTTTATACCCCTCCATTTGCTTAAGAATATGTTATATTTTCCCTTGTTGGTTTTAAAATACATTCATCACTTCTGGAAATATAGATGTTGTTTGTTTCTGGGGCCTTAACCAATGGAAGCACCGGATTGAGAAGGAAGACTACAACGCGAACCCGGGATTGACAAACCGTTGTTGATTCACAGGGGGCTTTCTGCGGCGATCCGTATCATTTGTGGGGAACACCTATCAATCCGCACGGTTGATCAATCAGGGGTTGACATGGCCCCTGTAGGTTGGTTCGGGAAGCCGCAAAGGAGACACCCGCGTTTGCTCCCTTGACGCATACCCGTTTGGATATGTCTGCAATAGAAGTGTATACACCTCAAACTGGTGGTTTTCCCAAAGGGTAGATCGATTTAAACTCAGGGGTTGTTGATTCCGCTTCAAAGTGCAATCTCTGGGTAGTTGAAGCAACAGATGCAGCCCTGCTTGTGATCCAGATACTTACTCCCCTACAAAATAGCGGGTTTCCTCTACAAATGGGTGGGTTTTTCAGGTTCCAGCCGATAGTGTGTAGCGGAGTACATGTGCTGAACGTGCTAGCTGTGCCACTCGCACGAAATCACGCAAGCATCCGACCCCAAATGGGGGACCACTGTTTTCAATAGTTTGAATTAGAAACCAAAAGGAAACGCCTACCTGGAAGGATTCCCAATCTGAGAAACACCCATATCTCTACCCCACTTTGGTCTCCATTTTTTTAACGCATGCAAACGCACCAGGGATGGCAGAACTCTCACCAAGCTCAAGCAGCTTCCTAGCAGCCCTGAAAGCCCCAGGTGCGCCATGGCACGTGCTAAAGTGTAGCTTCGGTGCTAAGGGGGTGCTGGCTGAAGGCATTTGGGTGCAGAGCTGGAGGGTGCTAGGTACTCCCGGAGACCATTGGTAAATCGTAAACATTTGGAAGCCCGGTGCGCACAAGCCAGGTGTTGCAGTGCGATGTTCTGGCTTGTTTCTGGATCCAGAAACTGGGTTGGCTCTTTTGGATGTTTTGCTCCAGACTCGGGAACCTGAAAAGACCTGAGAATCCTACGGTCAGCGGTTGGGCATGAGCTCTCGTTTCCCCCGTGGACTTTTTTTAGTCGGAAAGTCGCAGAGCAAAAGAACCAATTCCACGGAAGAAGTGGGTACGCAAACTGCTATGAACGCCCTCACACTGCTTCCAAGGTTTGTTGGCTGCTTCTCATCTCGCACGCCTTTTGGAATATGGGATTCTCCATCTCTCAGGCCCCTCAAGGGGCGCTGCGCTCGGCGCTCAAACGCTTCGATTCTGATAAATCGGTCGCTAGGCAACAGGGCATATTTGTGGAAGTTGTTCCAGCGGTTTTTGGTATCGGTTGCTTCCAATTGCTTAAGACTATTTGTTATTTTCCCTTGTTGGTCTTAGCAGGAATTTATCACTACTGGAAACATGTTCATTTTTCCGGGGGCCTTCTCCAAATAGAAGTACCGGATTGAGAAGGAAGACTAGAACACGACCCCAGGATTCTTACCAGGGCAACCCACGTTGGAAAATTCCTTCTCTCTCTTTTTTGGTTTTGAGCCACAGCCATGGGGCGGTCGGGCCATCCGTCGGGGCATCCGTCGGGGCATCCGTCGGGGCATCCGTCGGGGCGTCGAAGCGCAGGTCTGGAGATGGAGGTGCTGCGCCATGGGCCCAAGGGTTTGGGATCTCGGGGAGTCAGCCCCAGCTCGCTCCCTCGGCTCGGTGCCCGAGTTGGGTCCCCAAAAGAAGGCCCCAAAAAACCTGGGTGCCAACTTTGACCGTTTCTTCTTTTTTTCACGGGTTCTTGGGGGAGGGTTCCCCTACTAAAATAGACTACCGAAACAAATCGGGTACCAACTTATTCTAACCTCTCAAATCTGGAGGACCTAGACAAGTTAGGTCCTCAGTCGTCAAAGGAACAGGCCAGTTCTTACATCTGATCTGCTCCTTCAGTGTCTTTCTATCAGCGGACAGCCGAAAAGAGTGGTTTTCCTATGGATTTCCTTTCCCCGCAAAAGGCGCACCTTCAAGAAAACCACAACCCCAGTCTTTTGTGCTCTTTGGTTTGCATGCTGACTGTTTGTTTGTGGTTAACATGATTGGGTCCAATCTCCGGCTAGCAAGGTGGCAGAATATTTGGTTGCATAGTGTTTTGGAACCCAGAAAATATGAGCATGTGTTGGGTTTGGCGTTGTTTCTTTTCTTCAGGGTGGAGTTTGTGCTTGCCAAGCAGCGGTTTGGGTGTCGATGAGTATGTCCTGTGCTCCTGTGGGCAGTTGTATGTTTAGTTCTTTAATATATTGACATATATATATATATAATATATTTATATTATTACGTGTATATATATATATGCATATTTGAGGAAGAATGACTCCTTCAGTCATAATTCTGAAGCGAGTATTGATTCCGGGTTTTGGAGGGCGACCCTCGGTTTCGGGATTCTAGCCCACATTGTAGAAGGATTTGAAGGGTACCTTGACAAAGATGTTGTTGTGGCTACTTTCAGATGCGCTCAGACTGTATGGATTGTTCACTCTGTGCACATGATGATTTGAGTTTGAGCTCGGCAGAATAGACCGCAGCTGGTTGGTAGAAGACTATACTGTGCAGCAACCATGTGTAAGTTCAAAGATAACGTGGCAGTTTGGGGTTGTAACCCAGTTACTCGGCATTTCCTAACTTCGCAAAAGATTTTGACATCACTCACAGAGCGATGTCCTGGTAACTTTTGAGGCAGGGTATGAAAGTAGGATACATCGTGGCATCCACACGTTGCATGTCTATAGCATTGTGGCTTAAGGGCCAAGCATGGCGTCGGTGTATGATTGGCAGGAAGATGCGCGATGGTTGCAAAAATGCGAGGATAAACTCGATGCTTTGAGGCTGAAGAAACAGTTGAGCGAAGAGCAGGATTGTCTTCGTCAAGCTGGTGTTTGGAAATCTCGAGCAGCCTCCGACCTCAAGGATTTCCAACAAGCAGCGTGGAAACACCGTTGTAGGAATGTTGACGCGAGAATCCGATGTGAATGGCGGCTTTTATTTTTCATCTTTGTGTCGATTCCGTGCTTCTTGCTGTCTTTGAACGCCTTGTTCAATTTCCGCGTCTTGCGTGACGACGACAAGAAGGTCTGCATTGCCGTGTTGGTTTTGCTGGTCGGGTTGCCTTTCGCCGTGCTCAACATTTCCATCGACAAATGGAATCGAACATATCAGCTCTCGCACACATCGCATGATAGTGCAACCGTGCAGAAGATCAACTTCGCAAGGCCCAGTGCTCGGAAGAGTCTCATCTCCACAGCATTCGCTGTGCCAAAGAGGGGATAGAGAATCTTCGCCATCGGTACGCACACGATCGCAACATCCGAAGAGTCTTGGATCAACCGTGGCAGGAAGAGCGTGACTTGGACTTGGTTTGATTTTGCAAAAGATTCCTCGAAGTCATTTTGTTTAGAGATAGACTCTCACTCTCCTGACATCCAAACTGGAAAGAGACCCTCGGCCAAGGATTCAAAGACTCGCAAAACCAGAAATTTGGACGACATTTCGGATTTCGGTGTCCCTCCTTCCTATTTCCTTGGGAATGGTTCCAGAACCAGAACCAGTTTTGTTCCCGCCACTTGCTCTTTGAGATCCCTGGTGCCAAGGTGACCAGAAAGCTTTGGACAAAGTGGAGCTTCAGGTGAGGGGGATGTTCCACTAGGTCCCCCAGTAGAGCCCTGTTACCCTTTTTTGGGGGGGATAGTTCCCGTAAAATAGACTGCAGAAAAAGGAGCACCCTTAAATCGGAGATCATACTTATATGAATCACTGACAATGTTGGTCGATAGGGATTCTAATGTTGATTCATGAAGAGGATGGTTCAGTCGGGAACAAGTTTCTTGTTTCTTGAGGGCACCCGCAATTCGGGGCGGTGTGTGAAGGGAAGTCAACAGGAAACCCAACGATATGGCCAAGTTGCTGCCTTTTTTTGCAGACTATTCACCCTGAAACAAAATAGCAACTAGTTGCTGGGGGAAAAACGAAAAGCAACCGCAGCTGGCGATCCGGAGGTTTTAGGGCAACCCCCCTTTGCGACACCCGCAGTTTTGCGAGGCCATCAACTCTTGGGCGGCCTGGCGGGAGCCTTTGTGGCCGGGAGCTGAGCTCGAGCCACGTGGGCGCCGTAGCGAAGCAAGCCAGATGGGGAAGTGCAGATGGACACCCCAGAGTCACAAGGAAAGAGTACCTGGGATGATCTAGGCCAGGGGATGTCGCCCAAGAGTGATCTTGATTCCACTAAAAGTTGGGCATTCGACAAACCAAGGGTTCTGCTTATAGATAATTCGGCGTGCCAATTGTGCCATAATTAAGCCTTTCGGCTTTTGAATTCTCTAAGTTTGATAGCCATTCCTACCAAACCCAGGTACAGCTTGACAGTCACATCGTTCGGTCGATTTGGGCGTCCTCGGATTTGGACCCCCAAAATTGGCGGGTTTCCCTTTTGGTGAGCTAATCCCGGGTTAGTACTAGCCCCATCATTCTACCAAGGTGAATGGGAAACACCCCCAGTTTCTGACTTTAACCCCAAAAAAGAAGAGATGCAGTAATGATCCGGGTTGCGGGATCAATGGAATTATCCAACCACTTCTGTGATTCCCCCTTTCTGTGTCTCCCCCTTGAAATTGGGGATAGTGGTCGGGATGTGGTCGGGTTCCGCTTTTTTGTGTATCACAGATTCAACTTCAAAGATTCCCTTTGTCTGATAGTCTTTGTGGTCTTTTGGCTTCTCTCCCCCTTGAAATTGGGGATAGTGGTTGGGAAGCCCTTTTTGAATCACAGATGCGTGGCTTCCCCCTTTTTTTGGTATCACGGATCCGTGGCCAATCCAAACCCACGGCCCTGACCCCGGCAGAGGTCCCCTTCGTCCCCGTCCCACCCATCCGCCCGCTCCGCGCGGCTTCGCGCCTTCGAGGCTTCGGCGCTGGCGGCGGCGCTGGGCTTCGGACTCGAGCGCAGCGCGGGGCCCTCGGCCACCGTCGGCCGCTTCGGCGGAGGCCGAGGCAAAGGAATGGCGCTGGTGAGCCCCGGAAACCCAGAAGTATGGGTCAAAACGAAACCACCCGCAAAATCGAAAGGACCACAGGTTGGAGTCATTTCCGTTTACCAGGGTGCCGTTTTGGGGCTACCCTATTTTGGACCCACAGCCAGGTGGCTGTGGCTCCAAAAGCATGTCTACCAAAATGGCATCGTAAATGAAGCCAGAGACGAAAAAACCGGCAGTTTGCCCTACCTCTTCAATTCTGAGCCACATCCATGTTGTTTCCTGACTCGCAGTTGTTTTTTGACTCACGGAGCTGCTGCTTGACTCACAGCGCCTTATTGGCTCCAAAGGTTATCCACCGACATGTTGTTTTCTG